ATAATAATTTCAGTGTTTAGTATTTGTTGTTTTGCAGATGGAAGTTTTTCAATGTAAGTAGAGTACAAAAGAATTGTTGTGTGGTCTCGCACGCCTGCACATTTCTTGGCTGTACTACACAGAGAGCCTGATTAAGTGGTTCACATGTGATCCATTCACATGCTGCCACGTGGATGCGTGCGCCACGTGAACCCGTCTTAATTAGGTTTTCTAGTTGGGCCCAAGCCCATTTAGGACATTGTTGGGTAATTTGTTTGGGGATGGAACGTGTGGTTAAGTAATGATTCATGATCAATATTGGAATTATGGATGAACATATTAATGAATAAATGAATGAATTAGTTGATGAATTTATAGATCAAAATATACATGTTATATATTAATTGTAAAAATATTCAATTTCGCTCAACATAATTAACCAATCAGAACGCATTGATGATAGTGGCCCAATTATAAGGAAATGTGAAAGAAATGCACATGGGCCAGCAAGTTTCACCAGGTGTTATTTCATTTTATTTATTCAAAATGGCAAAAATAGGAACCGACAATAATGTAGATAAATCTTAGTAAAACGTTGAATTTTCAATTGGTTGTAGACCACTAACATTTTATGGGTAAGATTTTTATTAGGCAAACTAAATTATTAAATATTCATATTTTTCAACAAATATACATACTTTGAATTTACATGCCATTTTCTTAAAATAAATATGAAANTACTTTGGAGCTTTTGACATTCTTACTTTGGATTTTATGGAGAAAGATTTTTTTGCATATTATGGTTGTTTGTAAGAATTGCTTTGGAATGTCCCAAAGTCCAAAATTTATGGGCTTTGTATAGACCCAATTTTATTCAGTTGGATTGTATTATAAGAGCCCAAATCAATATACTTTGTTTATCCTCGCAACTACCACCAATTCACACTCGACTTTATCACATTTCCATTCCATTATCTAAAATACCAAACATGTCTCACCTCTTATTCCAAGCATGTATGTATATCTAACATTTATTATTTTATTACATATGTTCATATATGTATAGTATTTTAATGTTATAAGTTCTAATATATTTTACAATCTATTTCATTTGTTTATAACAAGCATTTTACAATTTGGACCTATCCATTGGGCTGATCCGGGATACAGTCCACCTTGGCCCAAGTCCAACTAGTTTGTTTAATTGAGAGTTTGGCTCGAGTGACCATTCATGTGACCCGATTACCAGAGCTATTATTTGAGTCGATCTGGGTTGCGCAAAGTCAAATTTTTCATGTTCGAACTTGTGTTTATTTAATAAATAAACAAAACACTTGACATAAGCTCAACTCGTTTATAATTGTAAAAAGCTAATCTCGACTTGTTTATAAAGATGTTTACAAACAGTTTTTTTGTTCATAATTGTAAAAAGCTAATCTCGACTTGTTTATAAAGATGTTTACAAACAGTTTTTTTGTTCGCGAAATTGACTATTTCATATAAAATCCATGAAGTATAAAAATATACATGATGTTCACAAATTTGGTTCGTCTCAATTTGTTCAATAAATTAACAAGCTCAATTAATTGTTCGAACTTTGATTGTTTACTGAACTTTAGGTATATATCATGTATGTATGTATATATGTGTACCTTGAGAGTTGAAAAAAACAAGATGGACGACGGTATAATATGATTAGTTTCTTACAAAATATTGATTATACAATAGGAGATAAATTAAAAGATAAGAGCAAACAAGGTGCAAATTGTTGAATTGCTTCATTTCGTTCACTCATGTAAATTAGTTCCAATCAAATTATCTACAAATACTCCAATATTATATTTTTTATTAGAAAATTACAACCGATATTCTAATAACATTGGTCAACATCAAAATTGACATAATTCCAATAATTTCAACAGTTAAAAAATTTATCGTTGGAATCGTAAAAATCCAACAGAAAATCAACTCCTACATAACATCTTCATTGAAGTTATAACATTGAACATCTATTTGAGTTATTGTTGAAATTATATTGAAATATATTGCCATTGAAATAATTTATTGAAATTTGATAATTTTCTAGCTGCGCGTCTTATATAATATGATAGTAATATTTACAATTTAACTATTGAAGTGCAACACTTTTGTTCAAGTGCAGAACATAAAATATCTACGTAGGAATATCTCCTCCATCTTAAATAATTCTCATTTTAGCCTTTTATTATTCTTCCAAAACCAATTATCGTGTTATGGTTGAGTGCATTTTGGGAGGAGCACTTCTATGAAAGGCCTTACTTCTTTCTTAAAATGAGTGTTTGAAATAAGAGATACATTAAAACATTGCCTATTTAAACAAGACACTTTTAATCGGAAGTTCTTCTATTGATTATGTCGGACTATTACACGAGATTATTAATATGATTTTATTTTTTATTTTTTTTTTCAAAAAAAAAAACGGAATCTTACAACACTATAATCCGCTAAATAATCAACTTTTGTACTGTACACACTACACATGCATAAATGTTCCATTTACAATTTTCATAAAAATAAAGAAATTAAAATTATTATACTATATGACAAACTTAAAACAAAAAGCACAATAGTTATTTATAATTTTGTCCTTGAAAATAATTCGAATAAAAATAGCCAATATGGTATTTACGAATTACAAGAGGTGACCTCATTGTCAAAATCATCACCTTTGTTCTCTTTATTGCATTTTCTTTCATGATCATTTGCTGACTCGGCTCATTTCCAAACCGGGATGACTCGGTGACAACTCGCCCACCCACTTCCACTTGCCATCTCCACTAGTAACACATCGTCCGAGTCACTAACTCAGTGACTTACCACCCCATCCCTAGTTATAAAATCTCTTTTACATACAAAAATTACAAAATCCCAAAGTTAAAATGAATAAAGGATAAATTAGAAAAAAAACAAAAAAAAACTCAATGTCGGCAAAAAGCATAAGCACGACAAATTTGACCCCAATTACTGTCATTAAATTTTTAACCGTTGAATCACATGTCACACATACTCATCTGAATATGTGTTAATTCAACGATAAAAAATTCAATAAGAACAAATATGTCCGAAATACTTAACCACGTGGATTGAGAGCCAACTCGAACGAATCAACCCTGGTCAAAATCCGAGGTAAGTTTTTCTAAATTATTCCTCTTCTCCTTTTTTCCCTAGCTCACCAAATGGACCTATCTGACCCACCATGCAAAAGGGGCCTTGAATCGGCCCAAAACTCCAAATTAGTTCTGAAGCCCATGTGGCAATATCTTTGAAAATCCTCAAAGCTCATGGACCGGGCCGATCTGTTCGTATCGGGCTCCGTTCGGGCCAGGTACCTCAAGATTTCCTCGAACAGAGACTCGTTGCAGGGGATTGCCAGAGGGCCCGAATTGCCGAACCCGTACTCCTCCTCGGCCCGAACTAGAAGCTTCCTGAACAGGGGGTGGTTCAGGTAGGTGGCCCGTATCACGAACCGCCGGCGGCCAGAGCCCACGGCGACCGCCACGTGACCGGCCGGCACGTCGGCGGGGGCCCGACGGGCCGCCGCAGTCGCCGCCTTCTTCCGCCACCGCTGGAGCATCTGCCGGATCCTGACAATATGGCGGATTTTGCTGCAGGCTGGCATTTTCTTTTGTTTTTCTTTTTTAGATTGATTTTTTTTATTCCTTGATTCAATTTTGGAGAAATAGTAAGTAGAGAAAGAGCTCTGTTTGAAACTTTGGAAGGAAGTGGCGTTACGAGGGTTATATAGTGTTGTCTTTAATGGGTATGCCCTCAGCCCTCGGTTTTGGTTGATAATTACGATGGGATGGCAGTTTTTTTGCTAATTATTTAGATGAATGTATATGATATATAATTGCTAGCTAAGCATTAAATTTTACTTAATAAATAAAACTTATTTAATTTTACAGGTGACACTACCCTTTCCCTCCAAAAATCAAGATCATTAATTTATCAAAATTTCAGAATTGAAAATTGCATTACTACCGTAGTGTTAGTCGCACTTGCATAGAATATCAATGGACGTTTTAAAAATAAAAAATAAAAAATCAGGACATATATTTTTAAAACTTTGACTAGCTGTACATGCGTGAATGTACAGCCACATGCAAATACCATATAGTTAATTTAAATAGTATAGAAATTAGAAAATCAATTTTGAACAAAAAAATGTAATAAATGAAATGAACCTTAATTACATGCTGTTGGCGTAAATCAAGGTACATTAATTTGACTTGAGCGTAACACTACAAAATATAGATATTAAATGATACGCACAGTAAAGGATTGGATTTCTTGTCAAATACTCCCTCTATTTTGAAATATAAGGCATTTAAGGTTATTGCACAAATATTAAGAGACATTAATTAATGAATAAATTGACTAAATTAACCTTATTTACTCGAATCACAACCACTCCACACTTCCTTAATTTCAACATAATGAGGGTATATTTAGAAAAAAATGCAAAAATTTGTCTTGATTTTTGAGCGCACCTTATATTTCAAAAAAATTGAGAAATCTTTATACGCCTTATATTTCAAAATGGAGGGAGTAGATATGTAATGATATGCACAGTAAATTAAGGATTAGACTTCTTACATCACAGAATGGTGTGTAGCTCTGTCAAGACTTTAGGTTTGGACCAAAACGACTACTCTCAAATTCAAGATACACTTGCAAACATGTAGAGGATGAGTTATATAAATGCTTTTTTAATAATATATAAAAATAAAATAATATATTTTTAATAATATATAAAAATAAAATAATATATTATTTAATAATATAAAAATTAATATATTTTTAATAATATATAAAAATAAAATAATATATTTTTAAATTATATATAGAAAGTAATATATTCTTAAAAGTAATATATTTTTAATATATAAAAAATATATATTTTTAATAATATTTAAAAATAAAAAGTAATATATTTTTAATAATATATATTTTATTTTTTAATTAAACAGTAAATAAAAGTAAGTTTTCAATTTTTTATTTGAATTTTATTTTTTAAAATAATATATTTTTAATTATATTTAAAAATAATAAGTAATATTTTTAAAATAATATATTTTTAATATTTTTCAATAATATATTTTTAATAATATATTTTTAAAAGTAATATATTTTTAATATGTAAAAAATAATATATTTTTAATAATATATAAAAATAAAATAATATATTTTTAAATTATATATAAATGCTTTTTTTAGTTTTATTTTTATATAAGTATTTAATATACTAATTAATAAATAAATAAAAGTAAGTTTTCAATTTTTTTATTTGATTTTTTTTTAAAATAATTTTATTTAATATATTTTAATCATGATTTATAATATATAATATATATTTATTTTTTATTATTATTTGTTAATTTTATTTTTGAAAAATTGATTCCTACACACATGGGAAAGAAAAAACCTTCTATTTATTATGGAATGGCTAATCCCATGGAGATGGGTTTTGCCATTCCCATTGGAATGGTCATTCTTTCCCAAAAAATATACCAATCATGGGATAAGGAATGAGTAAGGGAATGATCATTCCATTCCCATGTCATTCCTTCCTACCAATCATGCCATAAGCGCTTGAGAACCATTAATCGAATGATGTTCGTCGGCAGAAATCGAAAACGAACGTAACTTTTGCATTTCAGTTCGAAATTGCTATTATATTATGTCTTCAGAAGCAAACGACAATTCTAAGTGTGGTCATCAAGCCTAGCACGATAAACTAAGTGGTCCTGAATCAAAATACCACTATATTTGCAACATGTATTAGCCTTTTTATAATTTTCAGTATTTCATATTTTGTTCAGTTATTTATTTCATATTTCGTTTACGGTTTGAGACCATTATACATTCCTCTAAGACACTGGTTTGAGGGTATTTGAGACTTCATTTTCAGTTTTATAATAAACGTTTCTTTCTTGAGAAATACATTACGTTTGTATTCTACGCTTTATCAATCATGTGTTATCTTGACAATGATACATATAGAGAGAGAGAGAGAGAAGCCAAAACATCTCTCACAATGTAATTCAAATTCGACGGTTGTGATTAATTATAAAAATTAATGTGCACATGGAGCAAGATGCATAAACTCAGAGCACCATTATTCACCAACCCTAAATCTCCTTCCCATGCTTTCTCTTCCTCTCTCTATACTCATTTAATGGTCGCCCTCCACAAAATCCAAATGAAAATCATTGATCTACATGTGTGCCAACCATAAGCATATGATGGGAATAAAGAATCACAATTTTCCATTTGACTTGAGATTTATTGTTTGTGCCCTCGTGTTTGTAATGAAAATTGAAAACTGGAGATATGTTGAATAGTAGTTTCTCCTTTAAAACAAGTTTATATCTTTTTTCTTTCAAAACAACAGGCCACAATTTCATCAAAAAGCTCTAAAAAGCCATGAACGTTACATAGACCCAATAATATTGCCAGCTGGAGAACAAAATACAGTTAAAGAAAAAAAAGAAAGAGCAAAACACACACACATGCACATGACACAGTCAAGTATATAATGTTCTACATTCAAAGACTCGGACAAACCATTCATCAAATTCAATCACACCCCACTTTCACGCACATGCATGAAAAATTCTAACTTTACAAC